AGGAAGAGCAAGAACTGCTCATGCCTTTCACCAAGTGCTCCGGCCCAGTCGAGGATACTTTGGGAGAGTTGCGAATGGACGACTACGAAGGAACTTCTCCCGACGCTAAATCCTATTATACTAGGGCTCACCTACTCCGGGTCCATACCAAAACACTCTTAAGAGGGAGGTTGAACGTCTCTGCGAGGCAGGAGTACTCAAGAAGGTAACGTTCCGAGTGGGCGGCACCCAACTTTATCATTCCAAGAAGATGGATCTTACGATTCAATTCCGGGAACCGAACAAAAGATCAAGCGAAGCCTTATCCTATCCCAAAAATACAGGACATGCTCTTGAATCTAGATGATTCAAGTACGCTACTAGTCTAGACCTGTAACATGGATACATCATCGAGCTGTCACCTCACTCGAAGCAACTTGTACCATTTACTCCCGGGGGAAAGCACGAGTACCAGAGGTTGCCATGGCCTATGTAATAGTCCCGACTTCTTCCAAAGGAAGATGAAACACGCATGCATGACTTAGGAAATGTCCGTTGCATACATTGATGATCACCTCATCCTAACTGAACGCCGATCTGGGGACGCGTTGAATAGTTAGATGACTTTTTCCAAAGACTTCAAGAAGTCGGGTGTTAAAATCAACACTACCAGGGCCTTCCTCGAAAGGAAGAACTTGAGTATCAGAACAATTGGACTACTCGAGAAGGAACCACCTTAACTAAAAAGATATAATGCGATCCAGCTATCGCTCTTCCACCAACAAAGGAACTTCGTAGATTCATGGACCAATGAACTACCAAGGCTGCTCCAAGACAGCAGAGACGGAGTAACCATCGTTCTGAAAAACAGTCGTGGGTTACCCAGTTATCTATGACCGGTTGTCATTGACAGAGAACGTGAGTCCGCGCAGAGGTCGAGAAGACTCTCCGGGATGAACATGACTTCGTCGCAAGTTCCGCCGTCAATCGTGACAAGATCACCACATCCGTTTCAAAGCAAACCGGAAATACATTAAGGAACGTCCCAACGACTTATCCAGAAAACACCGATAAGGGAAAACACGACACGTGTCCCTCATCAACACCTGTCAACGATCCTAGATGATTCATCAGTATCAGAACCGTTATACGGTCAGCCAACGCACAAAGGTCCTTACCAAAGACGAGTCAATAACAATGGCACTGTACGCATCCAACATGCTACCGCCAAATGCGGCACAGTCTACCAGACTTGGAACATAAGGTATTTACACCATACAAGGCCTGATCCCCTTGTAGGATTGCCATCGTGCGACGCACATGTCTAACATCCAATCTCATGAGAGTGGCCCCGCACTTTAATTCATATGTTCTCTTGTCCTGTGATGTCGTGCCTTCCGTGACCCTGTTCAGGGGGCGAATGCAATACACGGCTCTTAGCCTTATTCGCGACTCGATCCTAGATAGGTTTGAGTTCGACTCATGACTGAGTCTCTCGTGAATAGTTATTGAGACAGGGTTCTCATGACCGCTCTAGTCATACTAGGTTGTGATTGAAACATCGCTCTAGATTTTAGCCAGCGTGGAGTACTTCCACGCTACTAGATAAATGCTAGACGAATCTTCCACGCGTTCCGTTTTTGGATCGTGGAGTGAGTAGGATTGCTACCGCAACCTACTCTATCACACTCTACAGTCTCCCGCGGGAGTTCAGATCTACGATCCTTTGATTTGTGGATCTCTCTCGTTGATTAGTTTTCATAGCTTTCTAATCCTTCTCAATGAACCTTTCATTCTCTCAAACTCAAAACACTCGAAAGATCTTTACACTAGCTTTTAGCGTAGTGCATTCGGTTACCTTGCATTGGATCCTTATGACGAATACATGCACAAAACCGAATATAGTTAATCCAGCCATTGTAGCCAGCTACCGAACAGTTACATCGGCGACAGTGTCAACAGTACGGAACACACTCAGGTTCCGCTTTGCTGGCTACACTCAGTTGCCGGTATCTTGCATTGGTTCCTTATGAAGAATACATGCACAACCGAACATTATGAATCCAGCCATTGTAGCTGGATGCGGTATAGCTACATCGACGACAATGGCAACAGTACCGAAATTTCGGCTTTGCTCGCTAGGGTTACCGGTACCTCGCATTGGATCCTTATGACGAATGCATGCACAACCGAATATTGCCAATCCAGCCATTGTAGCCAGTTACCGTAGAGTTACATTAATCGGTGACAGTGGCAACAGTACCGAACACACTCAGGTTCGGCTTTGCTCGCTGCACTCGGTTACCTCGCATTGGATCCTTATGACAAATACATGCACAAAACTGAATATAGTTAATCCAGCCATTGTAGCCCGCTACCGTACAGTTACATCGGCGACAGTGGCAACAGTACACACTCTGATAGGGCTGGAGTTAACAGAGCCCCCTCCTCCGTCGCGACCGATCAACAGCAGCTTCTTCTTGTTATCCAGAGCAATCGATCGTTCGAAAAGGACGCGACAATGGGATTTACTCGGCCGTCAGCAGTTCAGCAGTTCAGCAGAGAAAACAACAAATAGATATGAGTTTTGTTTTCTGTGCTGAACTGAAGAAGACCCGAGACTTACCCTTGCTTTTCAAATTGCACCAACTTGGCCGTCATGGGCCGAGAACTGACTGCCATCCCATGGTCCATAGGATTCAATGAGGGATGGCTTTCGAATCTACACCGGAGACGGTTGGCTTGAATGAGGCTTGGATAATATGGTACCGGTACCGGTAGAGGTGCGACTGACTCGACTTGCACTCGAATAATGAAAACAACTCACCTGTGGATGGCCGAGATCTGACTGCCTTCCCGCGGTCCATAGAAATTCAATGAGGGATGGCTTTCGAATCTGCACCTTCAACAAACACTCTTGATAATAGGCTTAACCCGTATTGTATCAGTCGTTCGTTCGTTCCAACACCATTCTTGTCGGCCAAGCTTGGATTTCTCTCCTGTTTGCCATAGCAATTCAATGAGGGAGAGAAGTCAGTGCTGCACCTTCAATGATGGACTTGAACGGTACGCGGTACATACATATACAGGCAATCAGTTTATCCTTAACCTTAGTAACTTCAACGGTTCTTTTTATCCACGAATCCATCTAAATCTTTCGAAGAGAACCTGTTACTTAACGATACACATGACCGTTGATTCTGCAACTGAAGTGCGGGTACACTAATTTACACAGTAAACGCGAGCCAATCGACTTCAGAGTGCAACTGAGGGGGTAACCTAAAGGAGCGAACTTTTTCGTCACAGTAGCCTGGATCATTCTGAATCATGTCACTTTTGGATCTTCTTTGGTGGATTTCCTCTTGTTTTCGGGCACACAGGACCTTTGAAGGTTTGCGATTCAGGAACTAAATCCAGTCACCGGTTAGTCCACAGTAGTGGAAATAAATTTAACCTTTTTACGAGGAGGACAATTTGACTTGGTAGACGTAATCACTAGTTACTTGCCCAGATCGTGTCGCTTAATTCAATAAATTCTTGCAGGTCTCACTAAATAATAGGTTTTTTCTTCATTTATACCGGTGAGGTTTATCATAGGGCTGGGAATATTTTTGAGTCGCTAACCTTAAGCGGAATACTCCTTGATTTCGGTGATGGCTGTCTTCAGATCATGGGGGAGATAGCATTCTCCATAGGTGGCTCAATTGCCGCTGTAGCTAGGTTGTAGGCTCAGTCACCGCTGGGGCTAGGTTGTAGGCTCAGTCGCCGCTGGGGCTAGGTTGTAGGCTCAGTCGCTGCTAGGCTAGGTTGTAGGTTGCAACTAAAGGCAAGGTTGCAACGATCGGGGACAGCTGCGCTGGACACCCCTCTGGTCCTTCTGATCCTCCACTAAAAGAGAGAGGAATATTCGCGGTTCGTGGTTAGGTTAAGACGAGAATGCTTGCGAGAAGAAACTCCCAACTCAAACTCCTGGACGGAAAGGCTGGTAGACACAATCTTCAGGATCGTTAACGATCAGCTTGTTCCTTCTGCATCTGTGGGAGTCAAAGCCCTTCTGGGATTCCTCCAATGGGATTGAATCACCCCTTTCTGTCACAATGGTCAGGCAGCTCCACCAAATGCTGTGAGTTAGCCATTTGTTCTGCGGTAATATTTAAGTAGTAAACTAATTAAGTTAAAAAATACCAAATGGAAGGCCACCAGGAATCCATCATGCTGCATGAACCAAAATACAGCATCCATACTCTAATTTGAAATCTCCGCCGGGAATCTCCCCACCTTGGCTCCTAAAAATCCTCATCATCAGAAAGATTCTCCCACCCAAAGCTCGTTGTTGGGGTCATTTTCTCAGGAGGCGTCACAACACGAGGGGGCGTCACAACGCGCGGTCCGACAGGTGTGCGGAGCGTTTTATCCGGATTCACCTGCTCAGTTGGGGAATTTGGGACAGTGAATTCGGCCGGTATGTCTTGTTGTCTGCTGACCGCTTCGTACTGGCGAAGAGCTTCTTCGTATTCCAGCTGGGAAGCGTCGACAACCGGTGGACAAGCTGCTAAGGGTTTGTACCCGTACACGATGTAGGCATAGTTGACCGCAGCCTTGACCATAAGGAGCCACGGGTCAGCCAGCGGCGCACCAACAAACCTCAGTTTCAGGACTGCTTTGCGAATTTTGGTCTTCGCAAAATAGGGAAGGTCAACCCCCTTTTGGAGCAAGGCGTCCAGGAAAGTTTGCAGATCCTCCTTCTTCTTGTCCAGATTCTTCTTGTCCGACTTCTTGCTTTTGTTCATCTCATCCAGCAAGTCCATTGGGACACGCAGAGCCAATGTGTGGATCACTGCCTTGATGAAGCCACGAAGCACCTTCAAGGCCGAGTCAATCTCTCCAGGCTTGCACACTTCGAAGTCTTCCGGGAGCTCAGGGTAAAGATTGCGATAGATTTCATCGCATTGCTTTCCTCCTGTCTTCGACACCGCAACAACAAGGACATCATAAGGAGTTTCCTTCCAGTCTTTGATTTTATCCAAAGGCAGGATCGGAATCATCAGAAGCTGCGGTACTTCATCAAAGTATTTCCGGTGGTCAGCGGCAAGAGAAATATAATTGTGGACGTCTCGCCTCAAGCACGTCGCGTCCTTACCACCATCCTTTGTTCCCATCATCCGGAGAAGCCGAATCTTGTTCGTCTCCGGCTCCGTGGCGGGTATTTTGCCTGTGGCCCCTTCGGCCATGAGGCTCCAAGACGGAGCGCAGGTTGGAGCGTCGAGAAAGATATGAGCTTTGGCAGGGTCAATGCCTTTTCCAAAAACATCCCGCTCAGGTTTCGGCCACAACGAGTTCGTCCCAAGAGAGGAACCACAAATGTCGGGAAGCTTGTTCTTCTGGTTTTTCTGCTGTGAAGCATCGACTATGAGCTGGTAGAACGCGGGAGTTGTGCCGCGGCAAATCTTCTCGAAAGAAGACCAGAGAGTGTTTTGGTTCCTGGGGATCGCTTCATTCTGGATATACCACAAATTATGACCGTCCTAGAAGTAGATCCCACTCTTGATGTCTCCCCTTTTCTTTTCTCGCAACGCTTCCTTTCGGTTATCTACAAAGAATTGGACATCATCACCAAGTGCTTTTTTGTGTTCCTCAACAATTTGCTCCTGACGCTCTTCCAAATCGTCCAAGCTTTCGATGGACTTGAGGAGATCGACCAACCCCGTGAATGCACTCATGGTGTCTGTTGTTGTTGTTGCTGCTGTCGTTGTTGTTGTCAGGTTTGTTGCTGTCTGCTCCATTTGCTGCTTGGCGAGCCTCGAGGCAACATAGGGTTCCAGCGAGTCGACGTCTTGCCATTTTAATCACTCCCCGCCAGCAGGGAATCGAATCGAATCTACTCCAGTAGGATGTAAACATTATGTACATGTGCCTGGTAATGGAAGACATAAATGTTTTTGTATTGGGTACCCAGTTACATATATATTTATGTAGATGAGTATCTACTACCTAAATGTACAATGACCCAAATGACTCTTAGGACTTAAAAAATGGCCCATAGGAATCAAAGTTAACCAAAAGACTTAAGACACTTCTGAAAATGGGCAGGTTTTGACTGAGAAACAGGGTGTGGGACTCACATGAAATACACGCTGCGTGTACTCGATGTGAGTACGGGTATTGAGTACTGAGTATACTCAATACCCATACTCACTTGACCCTCGAAAATGTGAGTAATACTCAATACCCGTACTCACATGACTCCGGATTCTGAGTACTTTTTGAGTCTTCGGTGAGTACTTCGGTGAGTACTTCGAAGTGAGTACCCGTGAGTACTCGGTGAGTATTTTGTGAGTACCGAGTGAGTATTTCGCCAACTCGCAGCCCCATAAATTTCTCATTTTCTCACTTTGAGCTTGTTCATTGAAGCTTTGAGCTTGTTCAAGCCACTGTTGACTCTAGCCACTCTTTTCTTCTGTTCTGTTGTCTCTTCTGTTGTCACCATGGCTGATGTGGAGGATGATGACATCTTGTCACAGGAAGAGATTGAGGAAGCTGTCAATGGATCCGGTGAATTGGAAGAACCGGAACAAGAAGAAGAAGATGATATCGAACAAGAAGAAGAAGATGAAGAAGCTGCAGCTGCCGATGATACCATGGCCGCGGCAATGGGAACTGATTTGACTGCACAGTACGTGCAAGCCAAGAGTATTCCCACGCTCAGTCGCAAGCCACCCGGCCGTTCTGGCGTTTGGCAATGTTACTACAGTGTCGACATTCCCGACGCCGAACACTTGGAAAACCTCCAACCTTTGGATGATTCGGCCTACCAAAAGATCCATCAAGGAATTCTTTCGGGGAAGCAATATGTGGCGTGTCGTTCATGCCTCGAGGATACCAGCAAGTCACTTTCCAAATGTCTATTCCGGCCAACCTACAAGAAATGTGGATCAGGTGGATTCGATGGCACTGGCAATCCTGGCAAACACCTTCGAGGACAACACTTACCAATGTGGCAAGCAATCACAAAGGAAAGAGGTGCATTCCGTTACGACACCTTTGCCAATCGATCGGTGGCGGCTGTTGCTGTAGGTCCAATGGCAGCTCCTCCTGTTCCCCAGGAAGTACCGCAACAACATTCCAGCACAATCAGTCATAGTACCCTTTCCGAGCCAAGGTCTATGGTTCATGAAATGAGTAGAGAGGCTGGAAAAAGCCAGGCTCTTGCAATATTTCAAGAAAAACAGCATCGGTATGCTACAAACAACAACATTCCTCTTCGTGTTTTGACGGACCACAAAGCATGTCCTGAATTCAGAGACATGATGATCTATGCCATGCAGAATGGAGCCGCTCTTCTGAAATGTCCCAACAATGGCTTGATGGGACGCATGGCCCATACAAACTACAGAGCCAAGGATTACCAAACTTTCATGGCTGCGGTTGGAATGCATCTAGGAGAGACGGACAGTACTATATGAAAACCTTTGGTTGTCATAAGTCTTTCCTTACTGTCGCTCATGACGTTTGGGACTCTAACAAGAAGGAAATACTTGGAGTGACGACTTCTTTTACAACCCCAAAAGGGTGTCTATCTAAGAATTCCCGTTCACTGGCGGAATCTAAAGACAAGAAGGGAGAGGCCACCACGATCAGATCATGGATATTCCAAAGCTTTTGGTATTGAGACCGAATGATCTACAAGGCATGAATGACACTACCAACACGGCCTATGGTGGGCCGCAACCTGAGTGGAGAAAATGCTACTGTGCCATGCATGAGATTCAGTTGGCTTTTTCGCATGCCACCGGTCAAAGGAAACGCTACAAGGACAAGGTAGTGGTTGACGAGTTTGATGCTTGTCAGGCTATTCGAAAACAAGCCGAGGAAACCGCCAAGTGGTTGGCCAACAAGAAATCGAAGGGGAGATGGAAGAAGTTCACGGACACACTCTCTGCTGCTGGCCGGATACCCAGGGCCTTTTGCATGTCCAACCATACAAGGGCCGGAGGAGAAGCTTTGTTCTACGCTTCGTTTATCCAAGCTCGGTGGAACCTTCACCACTATTGCATTGTTGACGATACATGTCCGGAGGTGGAGGATTCTAAGTACCATGTCATGGCACAAACCCTTGCGGTGGAATTCCCCATGTTGAAGCTTGTTTGCTTTGTCCAGTCGGACCACTATGGTGCCAATTCATATACTGCTTATGGGACATACCGTGTGTTTGCTTCTTATTGTTACTCCAAGGTGGTTTGGGTGCCAGAGACTCGCCGAAGCAAAGCTACCAATGACACTGAAAAGTGGAATGGCACTGCAAGTTGGTATCCCACCAAGTTTGATGGCTCTCCCCAGTTTGATGAACCCAAAGATGACGCGGAAGGACATTACCTTCCTTCCACCACTGAGAGGATTGGTTTGAGGACAATCAAAGTCACGAAACTCCATAAGATTCCACAGAAACTATTCCAGCGAATCCCAAGTGAGTTGCGACGCTATGGTGCTTGTGTTTCAAGCTTGAAGAATGATGACAAACTCCTCACCATGATGTGTAATCCTTTCGGTAAGACACACATGCTTGACGACTTTGAAACACTTGCTACTGTTGTCGATAATTCGGATACCCTCCCAGCAAACAAACTGATGGGCAAAGGTGTTCGGGAGAGAGCCACGACAATATTGACGATCTGGGTCAAGCAGATGTGGGGAAACAAATTCGACCTAGCCGAACAAGCGACTGCAAATGCAAGTCCAAAGAAACCACAGGGCAAGGCACGAACCAACGACCCTCTTGCATTGGCAAGGGAAGCCAAACGAAGGAGAATCGAGGATACTCCTGTGGAAGAAGGAGTTGACCCAATCCAGAAAGCAATCGACAAATGGTTAGGCGAAGAGTTCAACTTGTTGGATGCTCTTCGGGCTCAGAAGCGGAAGCCTATCGGTAAAGATGTTCTGTCTACACTTGGCAATGAAGAACATTCATAGTTGGACAACATTGAAGTGGTGAAAACCTACTTTGACTTACAAGAATGGTGGGAGACAACTGGCAAAACCAACCACCCAATCATTTTTGAAATTTATGTGCGCATCTTTGCAATGCCAGATAGCAACGGCTTCCAAGAAAGAATTTTCAGTTCTTGTACATGGTTTGATGGAAAACTCAGCAATGGACAGAAGGTTGACATGACATTCCAAATGCGCCTTCTTTGCTACAAGAACAGTGCATTCATCCAGAACTACAAGCAATGCCTCAATGATGCAAGAAAGGAATGGGCTAAGAATAGGACCAAGGCTCTCCTCAAGCTAACTGCCAGCAGATGTGAAGAGGAGGATTATGGCAGTGATATTGATGCCATGGTGGACCTTTACAACAAGATTGATGAGCCCCCAGCCCAGAACTAGAAAAACCTAGATAATTTCCCTAAGTAATTGATTTATGAGTACTCAGTGAGTAGTCTATAGTACCCACAAAGTACCTTTACTCACATGATACCCGTACCCACTTGACCCTGGGAATTGTGAGTATTACCCAGTACCCATACTCACTTGACTTTGGAATTGTGAGTACTACTCAGTACCCATACTCACATGCTAAAACAGTGTGAGTACCACGCCCTGGTCATAGATGTCACAGTTTTACTTAAAAATTAGTATAGGACTTAATAGACAATTGTTCCTAGTGATTCAGCTATTCAGACTTCAGACGTTCGAAGCTGGAAGGGAAAAGAAGTCTGCGTTTTGAGGGAAAAGTCATTTGAATCCAAAGAAATTGTGAAATTGTTCCTATCATATGTTCCACAATGATTACTGACTCCTACTCTGTTTACAGTAGACTCTACCAGATACTGTAGGGCCACGCGGCACGCGGCCATGATTGTAATGATTGTTGGAGTTGCTGGCTTATTGGATTAGGTGTCTGAATGTCCGAGTTTGAATGGCTGAAGAAGGCAACAAGGCTCAAAACCAACAATAGCACCGTTTCGCCGTACCGGTACCTGGTACCACCAGAGCAGGGTATGCAGTACTTGAAGAGCGAATGATGGTCAAAGTCATGACCATAGTGGCGAGAGAGAGAAACCAGCAGGCAAGTCTACTACATAGTAGCTAGCTATCCATGACACTGCCAGTAATAGGAGTGGGAGTCGAGTCCAGTCTGCGTTGGCGATTGTTTGGAAAATAGTCTACATGGGCTACATGGAGCCAGCTAGACAAAGAAGTGGGAGTGAGTGCTTTCTGACGAGTTGACTCCACTCGTCACTCGGTGAACCGTGCTGTGTGAACGTGCCAGCACGGTAACAGTAGATCTACTGTTCCAGCTTTTTTGGTGTTTTGTTTGGTTTTGTTGGGGGCGAATGGTCTTTGCACCTCCTGCGCGAAAGCCTGTCATGCGAGGACGATCAGTCACGCATGAGATTGCAAGATCAACCCTCACTTGGTCGACCGGTCGGTCGTTGACTGAGGACTCCTCTTTGGAACAATGGCAACTGTATTGGTTTCGACCAGTGGAGCTTCGAATACATTTACTTTGGCCTTGGGTTGGGCATTCATTCAAAGTTGGTATTGAACTAAATAGTACAGTACAAAAGAGGCCCCCAATAAGATCACAAAGCAGTGGCCAATGGCTGGTTTTTCGTACCGTATTCTTTTTGGTTGTTGAGATTATGGAGCTGTGATGGCAAGCAACATGGGATGCGATTTGGATTTGGCAGTTTGTGAGTAAACTTACACGTACTTAGCT